GGCTTCTCACTATCTCTGGCCCCCAGAACCAGCTGGCTGCCTGCACCAAGGCGCTGGAGAGCTCCGAGGAGCTGCTGGAGACGGCCAACCAGACGCTGCAGGGCGCCGAGAACCACGACTTCCATCAGGTGTGCCTGCCCTGCTGTGGGTGGGAGGAGATGGGGGGAGCTGTGCTGCTGGGAGGGGGGCACGGGACAAGACGTGGCCCCTTCCTGACCACTGGGTGAGGGAGCTGGAGAGGGCAGCCCCTGCCCATGCCCGTGTCTGCTATCCCATCTTTGGGGGCTCTGCACAGCATTCGAGCCTCCATTCCCCAGCCACAAGCCAATGCCTTTGGGCTGCGGGTCTGGACGGGGACAGCTTCCACGTCCAGGGGCTCATTAGCGGACCCCCAGCGTGTGCGTACCAGCGCGGCACTGCTGTGGGCAGAGCTAAGATTTGGAAAAAGGGGTGCGGATGGTGTGAAGAAATGCTCCATATAAACAGCGCACGTTTTTCGCCAGGTAAAAAAGAAAGGAGAAGCTTTACTAATGTGCTGGGCCCGAGGGCTCTATTATTCCATTTAAAATCAAAGCAAAAATGAATATGACCTCATTGGGATGGCTGCTCCTTTGCTAGATGGTGTGTTGAGTTTTCCGCTGCTGCAGGGCAGTGGTGGGACTGCCCCTGCCATGCGGTAACCTGGGTTCAATTCTGGGATGCACGTGTAACTACAGCCATTGAGGCACCGAGCATCCAAACTCCGTCTGGCCTTTGGTCTAAGTGGGGACGGAAGGTGTGGGCAGCCTCCACTCCTCCATCCTCCTGCCCAGGCGTATGCGTTGAAGGTCTGGGTGACCGCTCACACACGTACCATGATCCACAAGGGCTGATGGTTACCTACTGCTACACTAAGTTTTAAAATAACAACAAAGCAGTGAAAGATCCTGGGGTTTTTTTTAGCCCTATGCTCTTTAGATTTCACTGCACATTTCTCATTCAGATCTGTGAAATAGTCTTGACAGTGCACCCATTGCTCTCCTGGCAGCCAGCTCCGTGCTTGAGCTAGTGTTTACCTGAGCACAGGTTACCCCTCCTGAGTTAAGCCTGAGCTAGAACTAAAAGCAGCCTTTAGGGCTGTGAAGCAGGAGAGAGACGTTACTGGGAATGGCTAACAAGACATGGACCCTGCAAAAGCAAGGATAGTTGATGAATCAGGATTGTTAAAAGGAGAGAGGGTCATATTAGCAGCTGAGATTAGCAAGAATCGTGTCTCTTATAGTGAGACAGGAGGTCGATGGACTTCATCCACACTGCCTGAAGAGAAATGCTGCTGCCCTGCCAGGCGGTTGGTTTTAAAGCTTAGGTGGAGCAGAAATGGAGGGGGCGGCACTGCATCCCCCTAGATCTACCCTTGGATGTGGCTCCGTAGTGTGCACAAGGTTTGTGCCCTCGGAGGTGGCACTGAGGGCAGCTGTGCTGCAGGCTTCTCCTCCTTGCTTCCAGGGATGCCTGCTGGGCTGCTCAGCTTCTGGCCTACAGCGACCCCCCCCTCCCCAGCTCCAGCCTCCCACAGTGGGTGCTGTGGATGGAGACTGACACTTTACCTTCCCTGCCTTAGCACATGCCAGGGAGCAGGTTCCTCCCGGCCGCCCTGGAGCATGGTGGTGGCTCAGCCTTGTTCCTGTGGAGGCTGCACTTTCCTGGGGACACCTCACTTGGCTCTTACTAAGCCGCTTGCCTCTGTGCTGTCCGGTGCCAGGGAGTCCTGCAGGTTAACACCACGAGGGATCAGACACCCCTGCCTTGGGGTGCGGAGGGGATGGCAGCAACTTAGAGGCTGCTGGAAACGGGTCTGGCTGGAGGCCTGGGGTGGGGTCGAAGGAGAGAGAATCACTAATTGTTATCTAGCTGCTAGATGGGGCCTGTTGCTTTGTGGCTGGCTATGGAGATGGGAGTCGGGACTCCTGGGTTTTCTTCCTGCCTCTGCTGCTGACACCGGGATCGCGCTTCACCCTTCTGTGCCTTAGTTTCCCCACGGGGGCCTTGCCTACCCTACAGGGGGGTCTGGGGTTGTGCAGCTGAGCAGGTTCACCTGTGATTGGGCTCACTAGCAGCACAGGCTGCGGCAACGTGCAGGCACACCCAGCTCAGCCAGCCCCATCTGACCCTCTCCTCTCTGTCTTTTTGTCCTCCTTTCTCTCTCCTCTGTGCTTCGAAGGCTGCCAAGCAGATCAAGGATAGGTACGATCCTGCCTTCGCTGCCGGGCGCTGCGCTGCACTGCTTACTAACCCAGCGTGGGCCGGTGTGTCTGTCCCCACCGCCCTGGCCCCTGGCTGGAGGAGCCTGGAGGGGAGGGAAGGGGTCTAGCTGTTGGGGGCTGATGCCAAACCCTGTGGGTCCTGTGAGGGGGGCAGGCCCTGAATGCCCTGGTGGGGGGAAGCTCCTTGCTGGGGATCACTTGTGAGAGAGGGGCCCTTTTGACCCGTGTTCCCCCCCATCCCCAGTGTGACGATGGCCCCTGCCTTCCGGCTCTCGCTCAAGGCCAAGGTGAGCGACAACATGAGCCACCTTATGGTGGACTTTGCCCAGGAGCGTTGCATGCTGCAGGCCCTCAAATTCCTCCCGGGTAAGTGGGCATCTCTCTGGGGCTGGCTGGAAGGGGTACCTGATAGCCAGGGCAGGGTTGGGAAGGACATGGGCCATGGCTGGAAGGGAGCACAGGTTGTGGTTGGGGGTAGAAGGGTGGGGGGGGACAGGGCACAGGGCCATGACTTCATCCCCTCGCTTTCACACCCACAGTCCCCAGCGCCCCCGAGATTGACATGGCCGAGTCGCTGGTGGCCGACAACTGCGTGACGCTGGTGTGGAAGATGCCGGATGAGGACAGCAAGATCGACCACTACGTGCTGGAGTATCGCAAGACCAACTTTGAGGGCCCCCCCCGTGTCAAGGAAGACCAGCCCTGGATGGTCATCGAGGGCATCAAGCAGACTGAGTACACCCTCTCCGGTGAGGGGCTGGGTGCCCAGAGGGGTGCTGTGCGGCGTGGGGCAGGGATGTTCCCAGGTCCTGCAGCTGGAGGTGCTGTGGGCTGGGTACTGTCTGCAGGGGCTGGCGAGGGGGGACCAGGGGGCTCCCAGCTGCCCCCGTGACTCTGGGTGCTTCTGCAGGGCTGAAGTTTGACATGAAGTACATGAATTTCCGCGTGAAGGCCTGTAACAAGGCCGTGGCAGGCGAGTTCTCCGAGCCAGTCACCTTAGAAACTAGAGGTAGGTCCTGGCAGGGATGCGGGGGGATGCTGAGGGGCTCTGGGCATGGGGTCCTGCTCTCATGGCAGCAGAGAGGGATCCTCAGAGATGAAGGGTGAGAGAGGCTGCGGGGCTGGTTTGGGGCTCAGGAGGCTGGGAGACGACCCCTCCCTGGGCTGGGGATGAGCTGGGATGGGAGCAGTTGTTAAGGGGGCATCCACATGGTTGGAGGTGCTGGGACAGGGGTGCAGTGGGATGAGGGGAGCTGGGAGCCGAGGTCTTCCCAGGATGGGGACGCAGGGGGGCCACCTGCATCTGACTCCTGCTCCATCCCCAGCGTTCATGTTCCGCCTGGACGCCGGCACCTGCCACCAGAACCTGCGGGTGGAGGAGCTGAGCGTGGAGTGGGATGCCATGGGCGGCAAGGTGCAGGACATCAAGGCACGCGAGAAAGACAGCAAGGGCCGCACCGCATCGCCCGTCAACTCCCCTGCCAGGTAGCGCCCGGGCCCCTCGCTGCACGGGGGCTCCGACCTGGGGAGCAGGCCTTCCTTGGGGCAGCTGGGAGCTGCCGTGACGTTTGCCCCCCCTCTCCGGGGGCTTGGGGTCTGGGCCTGATCCTTGAGGGGACCCGAGAGTCCTGGCCAGCCGTTGGCGGGGAGCTGAGCAGGGCGACAAGGAAGCTCAGCTGTTTTTTTGCCCATCCACAGGTGCGTGCAGTCTCCAAAGAGGATGCCCTCAGCACGTGGGGGCAGGGACCGTTTCACCGCTGAGTCCTACACCGTGCTGGGTAGGAGCCCATCTAGGGTGGGGAGGTGTCTGTGGTGGGATGTGGGGCTGGTGGCACCTTCATGGAGCAGACGGCTATGGGGTCATCCGTTCTGGGGGTGAGGGGCCCTTGCTGGCCGCGGCTGAGAACACCCTGCTTGCTCCACCTGTGGCCCCATAGGTGACACACTCATTGATGGGGCCGACCACTATTGGGAGGTGAAGTACGACCGGGACAGCAAGGCCTTTGGCGTGGGGGTGGCCTACCGCAGCCTGGGCAAGTTCGACCAGCTGGGCAAGACCTCTGCCTCCTGGTGCCTCCACCTCAACAACTGGCTGCAGGTCAGCTTCACCGCCAAGCACAACAACAAGGCCAAGGTGCTGGATGTGCCTGTGCCCGACTGCATCGGCGTCTACTGCAACTTCCACGAAGGTGCCAGGGCGGGAGGGGAGGGGGTGTCCCAGCTGAGAGGGATGTGTCCTGTTGTGTGTGTGGGGGAAGGCAACAAGCCCTGCTGTGTGTGTGCACAGGTGTGGGTGTGCTTTCCTCGCTGCGTGGAGTGCACCTTGCTCTGTGTGTGCGTGTGCCTGCCTGTGGACACTTACTGAAGGGGGCTGTGTCTTGTTCTTAGTGAAGGGAACAAGCCCTGCTCTATCTGCGTGCATGTGTGGGTATGCACGTGGTTGTGTGCATGCGTGTGTCTGGAAGGAATCCATCCGTGTGTGTGTGTGTGTGTGTTCCTGCTTCCCCCTTGCTGGATAGAGTGCACTTTGCCGTGTGTGTGTGTGTATGCATGCATGTGCACAAATGCCCATGGACACTAACTGAAGGGAACCAGGTCTTGGGGTGGGGGGGGTGCGTGTGTGTGCAAGCTGCATCCTGTGCTGCTTGCACACACATAACAGTGGCTTTTATGTGACAGGCCCCTTCTCCAGTGGGGCTGGGGCAGACTCCTCCCTGTCCTCCCCATATAGGGGTCCCCCTCATGGGTCAAGAGCACCTCAGTCTCCATGGCCGGTGCCGCCTGGGCTGCCTTTCTGGCAGCTGCAGCAGGGCACCTTTGGCCTGGGAGGGAGCTAGTGCTGACTGGGGGCTCAGCTACACCCACAGTGCACAGAGTAGTGCAGAAGGCGGCTTGCACAAGTGCTTCTGGTGCAGGGATCACTCACGAGGGCTTTTCATGGACACATGCAGCTGCGGCAGCACGAGGCCCCATGGCACACGGACAGCCCCGGCGGGCGATGCTGCCCAGCCAGCCCCTGCGTTCCTGCCCGCCTGACCCAACCTCAAACTGGGCTCCAGCAGTGGCCTTGGCAGATCCCCCTCTGCACTGTGCAGCTCTGAGGTGGCAGAGAGTGAGTGCCATGCCACTCTCACACTACCCCTCTCTTCCCGTTTCTGCCTGCAGGCTTCCTGTCCTTCTACAATGCAAAAACCAAGCAGCTGCTCCATACATTCAAGGCCAAATTTACCCAGCCTGTGCTTCCTGCTTTCATGGTAAAGCATTACTCACCGGATGGGGAGGTGGGGGAGGAACCGCTGTGGCTTCAGATGCTAGGGGAGGTGGCTGGGTGCCTACTGCTGCCCCCTACAGCAGCAAAGCTGGTAGGATCAAGCAGTTGCAAGGTTTGTGCTTGCTCAGCAGTCCTTCCAGCAGTTGAGTGGTTAATCCAGCATCTCTCCTTGCTGGTGTGAGGTGCAGGGTGGGGGTCTGTCACCACCCCCTTCTCTTGTGCTGATTTAGTTGGCTGCAGCGGGGAGCTGAGCCCAAGGCAGCCCTGCAGCTCTCTAGGGTGCATCTGGCTGGCTGGCAGGGGTTGTCAGGGCACTGCTGTGGAAGAAGGTCACAGCACCAGGGGGTCCACCTGTGTTGGAGCAGGCACAGCTCCCATGACAGTCTGGTAGTTTGGTGCTCAGCTCATTGTGGTGCACGGGACAAGGGCAAGCCGGGGGAAGGGACCTGGGATACTGGATGCCTGGGTTCAGACCCTGCCTTTGCTCCTTCCTGCCGTAGTCTGGCTCTGTGCCTCAGTTTCCACAGCTCTAGCGTGGGAGGTAATCCTCTCCCTCCAGGACATGGGGAGCATGTAACATGGTTGAATGGCAGCAAGACCCTTGCCTGTGTTAGGGATGAGGGCAGGCTGCCCAAACCTCCCAGCTGCAACCCAGTCCCCTGCCCTGCCCCATGTCTGGTGGGGCAGGTACTGGGGGCCCTGCTGTCACTATGCCTGCGCTCTCCCCACAGGTCTGGTGCGGCAGCTTCCACGTGTACTCAGGGCTGCAGGTGCCCAGCTCCGTTAAAAGCCTCCAGAAGCGGAACAGCACCACCAGCAGCTCCAACGCCAGCCTGACCTAGACACCGCGGGACTGGGACCAGCGTCACGGTGGGACTGGGGCATTGCCTGGGCTATCCCACCGCTCCCCCAGAACCAGCCTCTGGTGGGAAAGACACTCCATGACTTCTCCTCTCCCTGTTGCAGGAAGGGGCTGGAGCTGAGGGGGCAACGCCCCAGCACGGGGGCAGGAGGGCCGCGGCACCTATAGCTCTCTGAATGTATCCAGACTGACCCACCAGAGCCTGCCACCCCCACCTCTGCCACACTTGCCTTTAAGAGCAGGGGACCACGTGAGCCAGCCTTGTGCCAAAGCGGGCCGTCGACCAACCGCCTTGCCGTGACCCAGGAGCGGGAGCCTGGGCCGCTGGACGCAATGGGCAGGGCAGTGTTTTTCTGGCAGTCATATGCCCCGACTCTTAAAGGCGACCCCCTGGCACACGGCTGCTCTTAGACCCCTTAGCCTCTCTCGTGACACAATGCTTTGGCCTTAACGATCGCTGTAGGTGTAGACGTCCCTGTTCCCCCGGCATGGGCCAGGGGAGGGAATGGTGTCTGTGTGTTGTGCTGCTCCTGGCTGGAGGTGACATTAAAGTATCTTCCTCCTCGCTGCCCAGGGCTGGGGCTGCTTCTTCTCTGGTCTTCGTTTGGGGTCTGCTTATGCCCAGTGATGGGTTGGGGAGCCCTACCCCTGGCTGCTGGACATCTAACCTCTCCTGTAACCCAGCAGGAAGCCCCTGTTGAAGAGATCCAAGCCCTTTCCTGCCCATCAGCAACGTGCAGTGGTGCAGTCGCTTCCCCCAAGGGGCTAAGCCATGGGGGTGCCACGCCGCACGGCTGGAGGGGCCACAACTCAGTGCACCACAGGGTCCATTAAGCAACAGTTAGCTCCTATGAATTAACAGCTGCACAGTCCTTGGAGGGCAAAGGCCTGGCTGGACCATCTCTGAGCCAGGCTTGTGGAGAGGTGTGTGGCTGAGTAAGGGGGTCCAGGCTTCCCCAGCCCCTTGCTGCTGTGAGACCCTTGGCGATGGGTCTGCACCCAGTAGAGTGGAGACCTCACCCCCGTGGAGCTGGTTGAAGCTGGGGTTGAGTCTGGTGCCACTGGGAGGTGACCCCGCTGAAGCGGTCCAGCCCCAGAGCAGCAGGGGCATGCAGCAGTGCAGCATGGCATAGCGCTGGGGAGACTGCCAGGACCGGGGCAGCGGTGCTGGAAGGTGCCCTGCCACAAGGCTGAGACAAGCCCTGTGTTAGCACTTGGGGGCACCTCCTGCCTTGGCAATAAATATCCTGATGTTTCCAAGGCAGTGAGAGCAGCTGGATCCTGCCAGGCCTGTCCTTGGTGCTGCTTAGAAACAACCCCCCACCCCACCTCACCTCACCTCACCTCACCTCCTCCCGTGGGCAGGGCATGGCTGCCAGGCAGCAGTTTCCATAGCTGGCACCATGGAGGGCAGGTGGGCACCGCCGGTTCCCTCTGGACAACACAAGCCTGTGGCACTCTCTCTGGTTGAGGTCTGGGACTCGGGGGGGCCTGCACATCAGACCCCAAGTGCATCTTCTCAGCCAGTGGAGAATGAAGTGGGGTACAACTCCCCCCACACAGGTGGCCTCTGTCTGCACCGAGCTTCTAGCTCATTGTCCCAGCCCCTGCCTGGTGAGATGTAGTAATAGCTGCCATCAGCTGCTCCTGCTTTTCATTAGTTTACACCAGTGTACAACATCTGTGTGTCCTCCTGTTCTCCCTCCAGATGGGTGCAAGGACCCCCCAAGTCCAGAGGGGAGGGGAGGGGGAACAGGCCAGCCCCACACCCTCAGGCACCTCCGTGGAGTACGAAGGGCCCGATGTGCATTGTCTTGCTGGGACACACGGCTCAACCCCTGCCAAAAATCAATCAATCAGCTCCCCGCCACAGTACATCTCTCTGAGCCCCCACATCCCAAGCTCTTCTAAGAGGTGAGACCCGGGTACCCAGTCCCTGCCCCACGACCTGGTGCACCCCTGCTCTGCCCATCCAGCCCCTGGCCCAGCCGTGAGCGGTCAGGGCTGGCAGTGATTCCAGGCAGAGGGGCCAAACGGTGCATTTATTAGCAATGCATGTGAAGGGGCTGGTCTCAGTGAGCCTCAGCCCCAGGGTAGGTGCCCAGCTGGCCCTGGGCATCACGGGCCTGACCCTCAGCTGGCATCACTTGCTGCTTTCCTTGCTCTGGCAGCAGCTGGGCCCATCAAAGGCAATACAGGGACCAGGGAGGAGGTTGGGGTCCAGCTGCAGCATCCTTGCTCCTCCCTGAGTGCTCAAAACCCAGGCAGCCAAATCCTGGCTGGCTGGAGCCTGTGGTCCCTTTGCTCCTGGTGTGCAGCCCCAGTCCTGGGCTCCCCTAACCCTCCTGGGGTCTCACACCATCTAAAGACTTTCTGCTCCCAGGGTCAGGGGTTCCCCCTCCTCCCCATCCATCTGCTGCCCCAGCCTCATGCCCCTCCTGCACTCACACAACAGTGCTGCCCTTGTTCTCCGAGGTTATGCAAACGGGGCAGGGACAGCTCTGCAAGGGGCTGAAACCCAACATGCAAAGAGCTGGGCCCAGGCAAATGATCCCCAGCCCAGCCTCTGCCCTGCCTCCACCCCTGCCCTGGCTGCTGAAAAGGGGAATGGGGGTAACCCCAGCCAGGGACACCCGCACCCAGGGCTGGGGCTAGTCAGAGCCCATCAAGGATAGGTTGGCAGGGGGAGGGGGAAGGACCCCCTATGCAGCATTTGCCCTCTCCCTGGCACCTGCTAGCCCCAACAGGCCCAGGGCATGTACCCACACACACTGAGTTCAAGGGAGAGGTGCCGGGTGCCAGACCCCACGTACAGCAGACCAGGCTTAAGTCTTAACTGTGATGCATGAAGCAGCAGATGCGGTGGCTTTGCCCTCGAAGCATCCCAATGAGGGCCAGGGGCAGCCGGGGAGAAGGGCTGAGGGGCCTGGGGGCTGTGGGGGGTTGGGCTGGCAGCAGAAAATCACCGTAGCTGTTCAGTCTTGGAGGATGGCACGTCGCTTCTGCAGCTTCAGCCTCAGCTCCTCCGACATGTCTGCAAGACAGGAGGTGCTGCAGGACTGGGCGTCTGTGCCCTTCCCCGGGTATGGGCCTCAGCTCCCCGCCCCGCATCCTGGCTCCTAGCCCCCTGATCCAGGCACTGGACCCCACTCCCCCCCCAGAGAAGAGATGAGAACCCAGGTGTCCTGGGCCCCAGGTATCAGCCGGGCTGCAAGCCCTAGGACAGCTGCTGCCCCAGACGGGTCCCCCTCAGCCCAGGGGCTCTCACCTACAGAGGGGCCAATGGGCACTGCACCCGGGTGGGGGAAGCTGCTGCCATCCTTCCACGGTTTGGGAGCGACACTGGGCTTGCTGGGACTTGGTGCCCAGGACCTTCTGCCATCTAGGAAGGGAGAGGGCAGGGGTCAGAGGGGCACACCCACCTGCCGCAAGAGCCACTGCCCTGCTCCGTGCCTCCGCTTCCCCTACAGTCTCACGGGGGTCTGGGATGCCAGGGTCCTCACCGCGGGGGATCCAGCATGGCTTCCCCTTGTCCTCAGCTCCCGCCCATCCCTCCCTCCAGCAGCTCCCAGTGTGCTGTTCCCCCACCTCCCCCTCAGCTGCCTGGTCCTGGGTCTGGAGGGGGCAGAGGAAGGAAGCTGTGGGGCAGGAGAGGGGCCCCAGGCTGGAGCTGGGGTGGGGGAGCCTGGGGAGGGAGTGAGGCAGGTCCCCAACTCACTGAGGGGGAGCTGTACCTGGCCGGGGCAGGGGCTGCTGGCCTGGGCAGGGGGGTCTTTGTCCAAGCTGCCCCCTTCCCAGATCACCCTTATGGCGCCTGCCTGCCTTTGTGTCCAATGTGCAGGAACAAAGGGGAGAGACTGGCTGCAGCAGCACTGCCCAGTGCCCCCCACTGCCACCACCAGCGCTTGGGGCAGAGGGGCCAAGCACAACCTGGGACCAACCACCCCGGGGTCAGACTAAGTGGCCTGGAGGAGTCGGGGGGCACCAAGCCCCCTGTGCTGTCCCCTCCCTGTGTCTGGCAGCCCCCCGATCTCTCTCTGCAGGGGGATGCTCCTCTCCTCTCTCATCAGCAGCCCCTGCCCCAAGGCATGACCAGGGGGCTTCCCTCCTCCCACCCTGAGCTCTGCCCGGCTGGGGGCAGCTCCTGGAGGACGCTTGCATAGACCCAGGCGCCTTCTCCAGCCCCCATTCAGCGGCTGCAGTGCCGGGCTCCACCTTCACCGAAAGGGTGCTTGGGTGCACCCTTGCCTCTGAAGCCGGAGCCAAGGGCAGCCCTGGGCCTGTGGCAGGCTGACCCCTGGGCTGGGGGTGTGATGTGGCAGTGGGGAAGGCACAGCTGTGAGCATGTCCACGCAAGTGGCACCCCCTCCCCGCCACGCACAGTCAGGCAGGTTGCCTGGCTCACTCACCCCTTGCTGCCTTCATCTGCTTGATCTCGGCCACTTCTGGAGAAGACAATAGTGTGAGCTGGGTGGGGGGGAACCGACACTACCCCCAACCTCCTCCCTGTCCCCCACTTGCTGGTACGTGGCCCCATCCAGGAACAAAACAAAAAAAAAAAATTGCTTGCCCTGGTAGCTCACAGGGGTTGAGAGAGACACCCCCAGCCCAGCCCCAAGACACCCCCAGGACAGCACCTCACCATGCAGAGGGCTGAGATCCCATCTAACCTTTGTCGTTTACGTAGGTCTCGTCTTCATCTTCGTCTTCGTACACCGAGTCTGGGGTTGGGACAGGAGGCAGAGGCTTTGCCACAGGGTTCTTAAACTGGGGGGGCATCACTGTGCCCCCTTTCGCACCTGCAGGGGAGCAGGGAGGGCACAAAGTTAGCACCATTTAGGGGACTACAACGTGTAATTGGAAGGGGGACCTGCTGCATGGCCGGCTGGAGCGATCGGGCTCAGCCCCAGTGCACAGGTGTTTGGAGAGTGCAAGTGGCATGCAGAAAGCATATGTGCAGAGGCGAGCTAGACCCAGCACAGCTCATACCAGGTCTGACAGAGTGTGCGACAGGCAGAGAGGACACAAATGCACCCGCCAATAGTGCCGACAGTCAGTGGGGCACTGCTGCAGAGAAGCTCGCAGCACTGGCTTCCCAGCTGGCAGCAGCAGCCAGGCCAATGTAGGAGGGAAGAGGGCCGAGCGGCCTGCACAGCTCCATGCCCAGGGGGCACTGAGGCCCTGAGCTGCACACGAGTGCTGGTGTTGTGGTCACCTTTGCGAGCTGGGGCAGAGGTGCCACGCGGGATGGGGGGCGGAGGCGCCGTCCAGACACTCTCCCCATTCTCCTTGTCGGTGTCCACGAACTCTGCGCAGCAGACAAGAGACAGGAGGGCTGAGATGAGGGCACCGCGCCAGACGGCAGGACAAGCATCTGGACCAACCCCTGCCTCCAGCGTGCGGTGTAGCCAGGCCTCTCCCTCGAGATCTGGGCTGATTTCCAAACTGAGGAAAGGAGCTGAACCTTCACTGGTTTCCCAGGGAGGATCAGGCAGTTTCACCCCAAATCGCAGAGAGCCTGGTCCCAAAGCGGCAGGGTTTTGCCCTGTTCTAGGTCTGAGAGCAGGGGGAGAGGGGCTGCCCTTGAGCCACACAACGTGTGGGCAGGGCCTAGGGGCACGCACATGTGCAAACCCACCTAACTCCTTGGAGTAATCCTGGTCCAGGCACAGGGGCACCAGCGTGTTCTTGGTGTTCGAGACAAAGTAATTCACCACGTCGTTCAGCGAGGAGCAGTGGTACTGGCGGGGTGGGCAAGAGGAGAGAGCCCGTCACCAGACTGCGCAGACGGGATTCTCCTGCAACCCGGATGCTCGGGGCCTGGGTCTCAGGGGTGAAAGGAGCCAGGTCCTACCCCACAGAGCGGGTCGGTGGCCCTGCTCCCCAGCTCTGTGCATTGGAAGAGGTTGGTTTGCCAAGGCTGGCACCCTGCCCCTATCCCGCGCAAGGCAGGGAAACAGCCCCCTTCGCCCTGTTGTTCCCCATACCACGCTCACCGGCTGCTCCACATCGATGATGTAGTCTTGGTCCAGGCAGCTCACTCTGTAGTGCTTGATGAGCGGCATGCTAGAGACAGTGCACAGGTGAGCAGGCTCCACAACTCAGTGTCACTGCCCCAGGGTCACCAGCATCCTGCCCCAGCCCCTGCACGCTCGGGCCCAGTCACCCTGGGACGAGGCAATCTCAGCCCCACGCTCCCCACCCGGGGCAGTCACCCTCCCCAGCGTGAGGGGGGACCCAGGCCCATGCCCTCACCCGTTCAGTATCTGACGCGTGGTCACCGAGATGCTTTTCCCGTCGCCCCCTGGGCGCAGCAGCAGGTTGCCGCAGTCCTGGTTCTTCTCCAGCAGGACCTGGGCCTCCGTCCGGGACACCTTGAAAAAGCACCTGGCAAATGTGGGGCAAAGGAGACAACCCATTAAGTGCCTGGGGGGCACAGTGGGAGCTGGTGGCTTCAGGGATGTGGGTTCGAGCCCTGCTCTGGACTTGCGTTGAATTCCAGCTCCAGTTTGGCTGCAGAGACTGGGCATCCGGGTGTTGGGGCTAGACACAGCAGTGGTCACAGCCTGGTGCACAGCTGGCCACAGGAACCAGTCCTGGAGGGCTGGCACAGACCCCTGCTAGCCCAGGGCTCCCAGCCTGGTGTTGGTTCTCTACCGCAGCCCTGCCACGAGGCGTCGGGGATCTGCAGGCTACAGCAGTGCAAGGCCCCCCACGTCAACAAGAGACGATGGCTTCTGTGGTGCTGGCCTACATGGGCCATGGCACTGGCAGGGCTCTCCGTCCCTCATATGGGCAATGCAGGGCCTGCACGGCCACAGATGCAGACCCCCCAGCCCACAGCAACCCCCACCGCAGCACACTTACTCCGGCATCTCCTGCTCCACAGGACCCAGGCTGGACAGGGTGCTGCTCTCATAAGGGCTAATCTGGGCCTGTCGCTCCTGCTCCTTGGCAAGGGCTTCAGACATCATGTATAGGTGCCCAGGCAGCAAGGTCAGGTTAGAGGGCACCTTCATCTGCAGGGCAGAGACAACATGCTCCAAGTCCCTCCCAATGCAGCCGAAGCCCCTGATGGCCCATGCTTGACACCCACTCTCTCTGCCATCCCTGGATCAGTCTCAGGAGGTGCCCAGGGCTGCCATATCCTGTTCCTGCTCAGCCAGCCAGGAGGGCAGGGCTCTAGGTGCCAGGGGAAGCTGCCTCCCAGGGGTCAAGCTCTCTGCGAAGGGCAGCAGGTTTCATGCGGCTCAGAGGCATCCCGGGTGGGGAGAGGCCGAGCTGCATAACACGCATGTTGGCTGGGCATGTGGGCACGTGTGCATGGAGTGTGTGGCTGCAGAGGGGGTGAAGGGAGGGGCATGCAGCAGGTGTGCAAAGAGCATGCATGCATAGAGGGGCTGTGCAAAGGGCATGGGCTCTGCCAGCAGAAGGGCACGAGGCTGGATCCAGCACAGCTGTGGGGCCGCCACACCTGGCTGGGGGTGCCTGGCGCCCTACCTCCATGATGGTGAGGATGAATCCTTTCCACATCTCCCGGGACTCCAGGTTCTCAGCCTGAAAAGCAACCACATCTCTGAGGACAGAGCCAGCAAGCACCAGCCACATACCCTCGGGGCTGGCCTTGCCCAGCCAGGACAGGGCAGCTGTGGGGGCTGCACAGGGCAGCGGCAGGAGACGCACCTTCAGCTTCACCTCCTGGCCCAGCAGCTTCAGGCTGAGCCCCAGGCTCTCCTCACCACCCCAGGAGCTGCTCTGGGCACCAGCATCTGTCAGGGACTTGAAGCCATCCAGGTCTATCTTCTCCACGGACTGCAAAGGGAGCATGGCTCCAGTGAGGCCCAGGCACCAGCCCTGGAGGACCTGCCTGCCTGGTGCCCCTAGGATAGGGTGGGAGTGATGTCCCCACCTTGGTGCTCGATTCCCATCGAGCCCAGGACAGGGCTGACAAGTGTGTGGGGTCTCAGGCCAATGCCACCCCCCTGCCCCCCCAGCCACTGGCACGGAGCAGTCCCCTTGCTGCCTTCCCAGCCACGAGGCTGAGGGGTCAATGGGCCTCTTGTCCATGGAGGGAGCAACCCCCCACTCCAGCCTATGGACTGGGACTATTTTTGAGACCGAAGGGGTGCATGTCCTCCAAGACTCAGCTGCTTTCCATGGGCAAACCCTAGCCCCCACGTGAGGGACCCTCCCAGGACTGGGCTGGAGACACCAGAGGAACATGGGGCCAATCCAGAGAGGTGCTGAGAGCCCTCAGCTCTGTGCCCCCAGCAGAACCGGTCCCTTCTGCTTGTCCCCCATCAGCGGCTTCCCCAGCTTGGGCGCGGGGGCCACTGTTGGGGGTGCCCAGCTCCCACATACTTGTGCATCCCGAGCATTGTGGTAGAAGTACAGCGTGCGCCCCCGTAGCCCGGTCCAGTACCGCTTGTAGACCTGACGGCAAAGCACAGGGGCGTGAGAGCCTGGTACCGAGCCCCCCGGCAGTCACCCAGCCCCCAGGCCCAGAAATGGCTCCACAGATGTGCCCCTGGCCCATGGGCTCTTGCTCAGGCTTGGCCCGCAGCCCCGGGATCGGCTCTCCAGGGTATCTGTGGAAGAAAGGTGCCGTCCTCCACCTCCTGCCCCTGGCCCAGCCCTGCTTTCTGCTACCCCCACTCCTGCCTGGGGGCACCTGGGTCTCTCTGGGGGCTACTCTGCTGGCACCATCTCCAGGTGGGAGCTCTGGGAGCAGGAGCAGTGGGATGAGGCCTGCTGTGCCCCCTGGGACTGAGACACGGGGAGGGGCTGGTTCCCTGGCTCCATGCAGCAGCTCCCAGACCAGAGGCAGCTCTGAGCCCCATGGGGAGGGGGACAGCTATCATAGCCCAGCCACGCAGCCATGGGCATGTGCGGGGAGGGGATTGGGGGGGAGGAATGAAGGGTTTGATTGTTCTTGGCCTGCCAGCAACAGCCGAAATGTTGTGACCCAAAATACAGGCCCTGCCACACTGCCCCTTGCACCGCTGGGCACCCAGCTCCCCCACGCCAGGAGCATGTAGACTTGGGCTCTAACATAGCATGACCATGCCATGACAGCTGCCCCCCGCCTGGCTGCATGCATGCCAACACCATGCCTGTCCTGGGGCTGAATCCTCCAGGAGGCGGTCACATGCCCTGGGGCATCGCACATACCAACACACCCAAGCGGATGCTGCGCTTCTTGAGTGTCCTGGACACACGCGAGTCTGACACTCTGGTTTGACTATCTGGAGGGCGGGGGGAGAGGGAAACGCGAGGTCGCAGCTAGATGCTGCCACTGGTTTGATGTGTGCCCTGGGCAAGTCACTACCTGCCTTGGGCCTCAGTTTTCCCATCTGCAAGATGGAGCTAAAGCTGCCTCACCCCTCTGCCAGCCCCTGGGAGATGCAAGGGGGCGATGCTGTGTATAAGCTCTGCTTAATTAGCATGCAATTAACAGGGGCCCTGGGCAGGAGCTGCCCACCCCAGCCCTCCGGGGCCACACAGACACCTCCCTTTTGTTCCCATCTCCCCCAGGCACAGCTGTGGCCCCTGCCTGGCGGGGTTCATGCCTGGGGGTGAAGGCAAACAAATCCCATTTATATTCAAGCCCCAGCCTGCTTCCCCCAGACACTTGCAGGGGAATCTCGGACCCCCAGCCAGGCACAAAGGACCACCCCCCACCCCACCAGCCAGCCAGAGCAGGGTTAGGGACACCGCCTAGCCTGGGCCAACACATAGGTGCCTTTATGGGCACTGCGTTCCCTGTTTACCCAAAGCATTTCTATCTCCAGGGCTGTCAGACCAGGGCCCAACTGCATCGAGCCCCAACCCGGGGATTTTGGAGCGCATCAGAGAGACCCCAAGAGAGCGGGGAGTCAGGCAAAGCAGGGCATTGAGGGCACCAGGGACACTGGCCTTCAAGGTACATGGGGAAGGGACCCCAGGCCCCCGCCAGGGCAGCGCAGCCCACAGGGATCTCTCCAGTCCCCCAGCTGCCCTGGTCGAACATGGGCTGAAGGAGCGTGAAGAACTGGGCAACATGCAGGGGTCTCACTGTGGATTTAACCTGACCCAGCTGAAGGGACAGGGGTGGGCAGATGCTTTCGTACCCGGCTGATCGGACCGGGGGCAGCAGACTGGGGACAAGCACAAGCTGGGTCCGGTCAGTGCCCACCCAGCCCCACGAGCCTTTTGCAAGCCGAGCCCGAGCAACTTCTTCTAAACAAACCTGGGAAGCAGGATCGAGCTATGGTGCCCCAGCAAGCCATCCCAACCAGAGGGGCACCGAGTCCCGGGCAGGGGCTGTGTGCGCCTCACAGCAAGCACCTCCAGGAGTGGATTCGTGCCCCGTGGAGAGGCAAATTCAGCCCTGGGTAGGTCTGGATCAATACACTGCAGGATCGGGGCCAGCACCGGGGGGGGTGGAGCCTGGGCTCTGGCTGCTTCCAGCACTGGCATGCGCTCCGGGGGTCTCTCCATGCAAGGAGAGGGCATGACGTGAGGGTGCTCGGGGAGACACCAGCTCTACAGCCAAAGCATTGCCAGCCCCGGCAGGGCCAGCCCTACCTTGTCGCGGGGTCCCTTCTTCTCCAGGAAGCCCTCGTAGTAGTGCGGTGGCAAGCTGTGCTTGGGCTTTAAGGTCCGTGGCACCTGCAGCGGCTGGGCCATGGTGCCCAGTGTGGAAACAGAGCACAGGGCAGATCCACCGAGCACAGGACCAGGAAGCGAGGGATAAATGCACCAGGCCCTCCCATCGCTCACCTGATTGGGCCCAGGTGAGGGCCCAGGGAGCACAAACAACTCCCTGCCTCCACCCCGGGGCAGGCAGGTGCCGCCTCCCCCAGCGCCAGGGGTGCGGGCCCCGCTCCCCCTCCTGCCTCGAGCAGCGTCGCCCCTGGGCCCCCTTCCTCCGGGGAGGGAGAAGATCTCCCCATGCTTCAATTTACTGAGCACGGCCCCCGCTCTGTTCAGTTTTGGCTGGGACAGGAGCCAGGCCCAGCTCTGAGGGCTGCGGGGCATGGGGCTTCTGCCAGCCGGCAGGGGCAGGGGCCGTCTGTCCTGCAGTGCCCTGGCAGCTGCATCGGTGCCAACCCCGGTGCCAGCGGTTCCTTCCAGCTGGGGGGTTTGCCACAGCCCCCCAGGGCACCCGCAGGGCTAGCACCAGCTGCTCCTGCGGCCCCTGGGCCAGTTGGGGCGGTGTCACTGCTCCCGGGCTGGGACCGTGCAGTGCACGGTGCTGTCCGCTCTCAAGACAGAGCCCTCAAGAGCTCGCAGGGAAAGCAGGGCGCACGGGGGAGCAAAGGAGCCAGCGCGGCCTGGCCCCGGCTTCACCACAAAGCAGCCGCGCCGGGCCTGGAAGGACAGGCGGTCCCCGGCCACTCCAAGACCCAGGGCCAGTGCAGGGGCAGCTGGTCCCAGAGGGAGTGTAGCACTCCCTGCCCCGGCAGGCGGAGATTGGCATTTGGGGACGGTCCCTGGCTCCAGCTTCACTGGGCCAGCTGCCTTGCACTTTACTCCCTGACATCCCTGCCTGTTGCCCTCGTCCCCCCGACCCGCTCCAGCGGCCGGCCTGGCGCAGGCTGAACGCCGCGCGCGAGATCGGAGCCAACCCCTGGCAAGGGGCAGTGGCAGCTGGGCCCGCCCTGCGCCCATGGGGCTGGGGCTCCATCCTGCTCCTGGAGCCCCCCGGAAGCCAGGAAACCCCCCAGGACGCCCCGCATCCTGCTCCTGGAGCCCCCCGGAAGCCAGGAAACCCCCCAGGACGCCCCGCATCCTGCTCCTGGAGCCCCCCGGAAGCCAGGAAACCCCCCAGGACGCCCCGCATCCTGCTCCTGGAGCCCCCCGGAAGCCAGGAAACCCCCCAGGACGCCCCGCATCCTGCTCCTGGAGCCCCCCGGAAGCCAGGAAACCCCCCAGGACGCCCCGCATCCTGCTCCTGGAGCCCCCCGGAAGCCAGGAAACCCCCCAGGA